AATTTATTTAATTAAATAAAAAATAATAATTTTCTCTTTTTTTTTTATAATATATCCAAATAAAATTAATAATAATCCTTTACATTTCTTCCTTTCCTTCACTTTTCTTATTAACTTTTATCCAAACATATGCTTACGCACACCCCATACCCACTAGATGCATTCAATAATTTTACTTAAGCATTTATTCTAAAACTTAAATCTTAAATTTGATATAAAAGTGAACACCTGCTTTCAGTTTTTCAATTTAGCTCTTGAAATCAAAGCAAACATACCCTTTTTTCTCATAAACAAAATCTCCCCATAAATGGCGTCTTGCTTCGGCCAGTGGTGGCAGGCGCCGGTCTACTCCACAGTCGCAGTACTCCTGGCTTTCCTAGCAATCTCGGCGGCGATTCGTTCACTTCCCAGGGACCACGACGACAATGATTCTTTCCGAACAAAACCCAACGTCTACACACTCGCTCTCAATGCCTCTAGAGCCCTGAGAAAATGTGGGTTCAACATCTTCGCCACCGTCTTCCAAATCTCACCCGAAATCTACCCTTTTACTCGAAACACCACCATCTTCGCAATCGAAGACTCAGCCATTTCCAACACCTCTCTCCCCCCGGCGCTCTTCAAGCACCTCCTCCACTACCACACCTCCCCTGTCAGGCTTTCCATGGCGGATCTTTTGAACAAGACCCAAGAAAGTTGTCTCCCTACCTTTCTTGATCGGAAGAACATTGCGGTCACTAAGGTCGATTCGAAGAACAGATTGGTGGAGATCAATCATATTCCGGTGACCCACCCCGATATATTGCTTGAAGGACCCCTGTCGATTCACGGTGTTCTTGGTCCGTTTTCTTCATTGGATCCTCCGAGGGATTTCCTAGGTTGGGATTACATCCACTCGCCGATTTGTGATTCCAATTTGAAGTTAATTTTCGATGTTAATGGAACCAAGAACCGTATTGAATGGACCCAGATCATCCGTCTGCTAAGTTCACATGGGTTCGTTTCTTTTGCAATCGGGTTGCACTCTGCTCTTGACGGAATTCTTGAAGATGGGAAGAACTTGAGCTCGGTAACCATCTTTTCTCCTTTGGGTTTTTCTTTTGTGGCGCCTTCTTCACCTTTGCTTGACAGAATCGTGAGGTTCCATATACTGTCCCAGAGGTTTACTTACACTGAACTTGCTGCCTTGCCTGGTAAGGCGTCGTTGAGAACTCTAGTCCCTGATCAGAAACTCGAGATTGATGGTGGTATCAATTCAACGAAAGGACTCACCATTAATGGAGCAACAATCATTGCACCAGATATTTTGTCGTCCAAGAGGTTCGTGGTACACGGGATCTCTCAAGCTTTTGATGTTGCTGTGTTTCCTGAGTTGTCGAGATGAGTGTTTCGGAAACACCAGCACTGGCTTTGAGCTATGATTGAATTTTAGCAACAGATATGGAATGTGAAAGACATTTCAAAGCACTGAAATTTTTGAATGAGGAGATTGTTTAGAGCATTTCTGATATACGTTGCCTGTAGAATTCTATCCATAAATGGAAAAGAAATGCATTGTCTCTGCCATCAAAATCTAAAGTTTAACCAATATGACAAGACTGCTGTAGCTGATATGAATGTAACAAAGCCATGCAACCATACTCTCTAGGTTGATTCATGTTGATAAACTGTGAGCGCAGACATATCTGGCTGTCATATAAAAAAGATGCATTACTGAATAATCAAACAAGACATCAATGGTATTGGTCATGGCCTCAGGTCAGTTGCAAGAGAAGCCATGGATTATGTCTAAGCTTCACTTCAACATTTAGCATTGTCCTAATACATATGAGGTTTGGCTTTGAAACTGAACCTCAGAATTTGCCCTCATCCCAGAAAATAATTGTGCATTACAGACATGTGGTATGGCTTTGAAATCTTCTACTACAGATAAGAGATAACCATATCAAGAAACTGCAACTAAAGCATTAAATGCCAAAAGACACATTGATACAGCTAACATCGTTACCAAATACAGAGCTCTCTTATAACTCCAAAATCCCTTCATGTGGGATGAGGAGATCTTCATTGGAATGAACAAGGTGATACAAGCTTGATTAGAAGTCGTAAAGGAGGATCCCTGTGAACACAATGTGATGCTTAACTTTCAATTAGAAAACTGTCTTATCTCTTACAGGTTCTGAGATGTAGCCAGAGTATTTGCAGGGAAAGATGTGATCACAACTCTGATCTGACCTTGAACTGGCAACCATGATGATATCTTGATATCTTGATATCTTGAGCTGTAACACCTTGAGGTGCACCCATCATCATCTACAGATGGCTAACTTGGTGACAAGCTTTCAACTCTGCAGCTTGCAAAATAAACCAGTGAAGGATGTGCACCAAGAGCATTCACAATAAACTGATGTTAATAAAGAATAACGGCCTTTATTTGTCCACTCAGAAATAATGACCGCCTCAACCATGAATAATATCTTCAAAATTTGAGAGTCAAAGCAGGAAAGGGATTGGCTGTAATCAAAGGTAAATCCTTTGTCATTTAAGGCATCTGCCCCTTCCTTGTCAATTTATAACAAAGTAAGCTGCTAGTAGTGGTATTCCTTGGACATTAATCATTGATACTGCTTGTTGAAAACCTCCTCTGTAGGTTATATTATGACAAACTGCAGATGCATTCTGAAAGACAGTACAAAATAAAATTGTCCAGTGATCTTCACTATTGATCACCAAGGCAAAAGGACCAGTCAATCATGCTGATACAACAAATGCAGATATTTCAAGCCAATGTTGCTAATTCTGTTGTTTAAGGTTATTAGTCTTACTCATCTAGTCATCAATTTGCAAACTGATATACTTATCCAATCCACATTTAGAAACCAATAGAAGAAGAGCTAGATGCAACATAAAGTTTCCTCTAGTTCCATAACGGTGCTTAGAAATTGATCAAAGACCATAAATCATGATGCTTAACTAGACTAAAGAAAAGAACTAGAATGCAGAAATTAGCAGTAAAGAGAAAAATTTACCTCGCATTTTTTAAATTAGACCTTACCAATAAAGAAGCATAAATCCAACTCCAAGAGATGTCTCAAGTGATTAAGAGCTTGAAACTCTAATTTGGAGATCTTGAGTTTCAATCTTGAAACGGGTGGGAAAGGATTAAGAGAAGGGGAGAGCTATCCCCGATGTATAGCCATATCATCTAATTTACAAAAAAAAAAAGAAAAAAAAAAAGAAGAAAGCTGAAATCCAATATCCCAGATAAAATTTGAATCATCTATATCATGGAAAAAGTGTTGTGCAATCTAGACCATACCTGACCACACAACACTAACTATTAGATGGGAGTTGGGCCCCCTGAGTCCTTCCCCATTCAATACTTCCTGTTTTACGGTCCAGTGCAGTCAGGACTGTAAAACAGGGTTCGTTTATATCATTTATTATATTTGCATAATTCCAAATCAAGAAACTTTTAACATTCAAGTTTGCAATGTGAAAATCAACTCCAAGCATTGAGTTGTATAGATTATCAAAACTCAATTTGACATTTAACGCCAAATAATTGTTCGAAGGAGAAACAATACAGCTACAACCAATGAGTATACATAAATGCACAAAATCAACACTAAGAAATCTAATCCAATCAATTATCAACATAATAAATCAATGCTTACAGCAAAGCCAGAAAACAAATCAAGCAGAACGACTTCTTCTCATTATAATCCTGGTTACTTTTCTTCCATATAAGGTAACATTTGCTGCATTAACAAGCCTGGAACTCCTAAACAACCCAACAATCTCGTCCACTTCCTCAGATGCACATTCCTCCACAACCACTACAGACACCCCACCTTTTCTCACAGTTCTCTCCATCTCCTCCACATACCGCGCCGGATACAGAGCCTCAGCAAAATGCCCACTAAACACAAGATCAAAAGCCCCACCAAAAAAGGGCAGATTATGGGGATCGGCCCTGCTAACCAACGGCAAAGATTCCACCAATTCCACTCCTGTAACATCATCAATTCCCATTTTCGACAAAGCCATGACTTCGTGGCCGGCTCCAGCGGACACACAAAGTACTTTCGAGTGGGTCTTGAGGTGACCCATGTCGCGGATTTGAGTGAAGAACTGGGTGAACGAAGAAACCCGGTTGATCCAGGATTTGGACGACCAAAGCCGAGCATTTTTCTTGGCAAGGGGGACGTGCTGCCGCGACGAAATATCACAGGTGGACTTGGGGAATCTGAGATGGGACTTGGGGATGTTGGATGGGACACAGATTTCTGGGGCTTGCAGAACAAAGAAGAGAGCAATCGTGCCCATGATAAGGGATATTATCGAAACCCTGTTTAGTAATCTCAGTATGTGTCTGTCCATTTTGGGGTTTCTTCGATTGGGATCTTCACAGAGGAATTGGCGATGTCTGTTTCTCCATTGTTGATGCGGAACCCTTCTCCGCCCGCTTCACCCAGAATAAATTGCATTTATTTTGGTTAGGTTAAATGCTAAATTTGGTCCCTAAACTTTAAGAAATGCACATTTTTGATCTCTCAACTATAAGAAATGCACACCGTTAGTCTTTTTGTTAATTTGGGCCGTTAACTCTACCCATATGGCATTTTTTATATTTTTTTTGATGATGTGGAGAGCAAAATTTAAAAAAGTGATGATATGGACAAAACTTTTGCCATATCATGTTACCATGGCTGAAACACACCAAGTCCACCCAA